GGCAGGGGTGGAGGGGGGTGGCGGCGGGGGCCCGCGGCGGCCCTCGGGCGGGCGGACTACTTGACGTGTCGGTGCGGCGAATTTATTTCACTTTGCCTAAGGAACGGGGTGTGCTGCGGCCCCCATTGCCTAGGGAAAAAACCCGGATGTAAAGTGAGTGAAACTAAACTAGAGTGAAGTAGGGCAGCAGCAGCCAAACTCCAGTGCAGCGGCGGCGGCGGCGGCGGTGATGGGCCGAGCACCGAGCGGCGGCCAAACTCTGGGGCCGCCGCAATTCTGGGCCCGTGCAGCGCTGCAGCTCGGCTCCCGTGCAGCCGCAGCCGAAGCGTGGCCGGAGCCCGCTGCGCCCCCCCCCCCGCAAACTCCGCGGCCCGAGCCCGACTCCCCCCTCCGGCGGGAGCTGCAAAGGGACTCCGGAGCGGCCCCAACTCCCTCCAATGCAACAGCAGTTGGAAGGGGGAAAAACAAGCGGCGAAGGCCGGAGCGAGGAGCAGCGATGGGGAAGCACTGCAATGAGGGAGCCTGGTCCAGGCAACAGGAGAAAGATGCAAGCTCAAGTCGAATGCAACATGCAATCCCCGGCCGCGCTCGCCCGCCCGCTCCCTCCCCTCGCCACCCCGCCCCCTTTCCAAATAACTACCCTTGAACCACTTTATTAGCCGCACTTAGTCCACACTCGCTTCGGGGAGGGGCGGAGGACGGGGCCCTTCGCGCACCTTTATTTATTGCTGCTTTCTGCCCCCCTCTCCATGTTTTTTATTCCTAAGTTCTTTTGTTCTAAGGGGGATGATGGCATTTACTTTTCTGCTTTGTGTAGCAGGGCAATCACTGGGAATCGGCCACGTATAATCCGGCGGTTTGTCATATTTTATTAGTGAAAGTATTTTATGCCTATTCTACCTCGGAGGACTGTAACATGGAGAACTGCAGGGAGAGGAAAACAAAATCTGAAGAATTCTTGTTTTGAGAGATTTCTTGGCGGGGTGGGGAGGGCCTTTTTTTGGAGGGGGGTTATTTAGATTTTTTAATCGATACTTTTCAACTTAAAGCTTAACGTTTTCGTGCGGATGTATTACTGGATTCTAAAATAACTAATTTTTTTTAAAAGTCAAAAATCTTAGATCTAAAAAAAAAATCCCATCTGGACAGTGATATTATCTGTTCTGTGCAGCATGCTGGACTTAACATAGTGTTGGCCTTCGAATGTTAAATAACAATAAACCCCAACCTCAACTGAATGCAAATGGGGGGTGGGGGGGCTTGTTTTTAAGGCTCAGCACTTTTGTAGCATCTGCCACTACGCATTTTCCAGGCATTGATTAGCCATGCAACTCCCATAGGCATGGAGTCCAGTTTTTGCAGATAAAGAGCAACAGTGGTGAGATGATTTGCCCCAAGTCAAAGTGAGTCACCGGCAGGACCAGAAATAGCCTTAGACTTGATTCGTTCCTAGTCCCTTCTTTTCCATTAAATACTATTTCCTCCAAGCACTACAGTAGTTTTTAAAAATAAATACACATTCTTTACCTTGTTATGTGTCTTCACTAGAGGTGCTTTGAGATCATTGACTATGATGGCATCTTCTTACTTCTGGGACCTGCAAAATTAAGTTTAGCTTTTCAGAGAAAGGAATTTTTTTTTTAAAGTCTGGTTTAAAGTTTTTTTGTTTTTTTTTTTTTTGTTTTTTTTTTTTTTAAAGCATAGACTTTATTTAACGTGTGTAGGTCATTTAGTAGTCTGAGCTTTATGTTAAAATTTTTACAGCAGAGAAAGTAGATAAGAGTTTGAGAGTGAAAATGAAAATTCCTTTAAATGATTCAAGGAGGCTGGGTGTACTCATAACGTGAAACTAAACCTGTAATATAGTGGAGATGAGTCTGGGGACAGGTGAATAATAAGGCCCAGTCCAGCTGCCCAGAGTAGCTAGTTTGTTTCACACAGTGAGGGACCAGGCCATAACCTAATGCCATGCTTTCAGAACCCTGCAGGCTGTCACCACTTTTTCAGAGAAGACTCCCTTAGTTTTCTTTCTTAAAAAAGTTGAATTTAAAAAAATAATTTAAAGAAATCTAAAAAAAAATTTTAAGGGGCCGGGGAGATGGCTCAGTGGAATAAGCACTTCCCTGGCAAGTGCAAGGGCCTGAGTTCAATCCCCGGTTCCGCCAAAAAAAAAAAAAAAAAAAAAAATTTTAGAATTTCATTTTAAAAATACAGAAGCTTAAGCTGTTTGACTGTGATAGAGCAGGTCAGCAAACTTTTTCTACAAAAGCTCAGATAGGAAATATCTTAAGTCTCTCAGCCCACACATCCGTCACAACTTCTCAGTCCTGCTGTACTCTTGAAACACAAAAGCCTATAGAGACAACGTGTAAACAAATGTGCCTGGGTTTAATAAAATTTTTTGTTTATGGACCTTAATACTTGAATTCATATACTTTTCATGCATTAAGGAATGTTAGTCTTCTGGGGTTGTTGTTGTTTGTTTTTTAAGTTTGTGGGGCCTCACAAAACCCGGTAGT